TATATTTAAATATTTACTGCTTACTAATGTTGGTGCTTACAGACTTAAACTTTGAACATAAATTTTTGAAACACTGCTCTGATGTACCTGCATTTTAATACTTCAAGGGGCTTTAATCCCTCTCCTGCACCTGAAGTACCCAGGCACAGGGAGGCTTCAACAGTGCCATTTTACATTGCAGAAAGTCCCCTGAAGTCATGATGGCATTGACAGGATGGCACTACAGGTTGGTTCAGAGAAGCAGCACCCACAGCACACTCTGGGCCACGGTTTGAACAGCAATACAGCAGGGCACACACACACCCCAGGGTCCTGAGACACGGCTCTTTGCAGACCCTCTGTGACTGCAGGGAACAGGCTCCTTCAGGGAGGGCTGCTCTGCACACACGGGACCCTGGCTCTGCTGGAGATGGCATTTCCAAAGGAGCCCTGCCAGCCCTCAGCAAGCAGCTCTGCAAACGAACTGCTCTGTGTCAGCACGATTTGAGTGTGTGGAGCAGCCTCAGAGGGATGTGTTTTCATGAGTAAAAACGAGCCTGGTTCCAGGAAAAGATGCAGCATCAGTATGGTGAACCAGAATATAGGAAAAACTGGCTTATGTCTGAAAGATCAGTGGAGATAACATGGATTAACAGCATTATATCATGATATCAAATACTTTTTGCATCTACCAAGATTTACTCTTCAAGGGACAGAGCTAAAAAAACCCACATCAAAAGCTGTAATTTCAGGAAGAACATGAAGTAAGCTTTTTGCTCTCTGAGAAATATTAGCAGATCACTCAAATTAGTGAAGTGAAAAGTATAAGTTCTTCAGTAAGCTTTTTGCTCTCTGAGAAATATTAGCAGATCACTCAAATTAGTGAAAAGTATAAGTTCTTCTAAGTCTTACAGTTCCTTTGGTTTTAGTGGAAAGACATCAGTTCCAATTGCCTGTAGAATCACATGACTACCTTCCTTGCTAGCTTGCATATGCAGAAAGATCACAGCTTCCTCATGACTGACAGCCAACAACTAAAGTCAAGTTAATTTTTTTTTCATAAATTCTAATTGCAATTGTTTTATCTAGTGGTTTATTTAAAAAATAAAAAATAAAAAAAAAACCACTAGAAAAATCCACCTCATCACTGAAACAGAGAAACCACTGCCAGTTATTTGAAACATTACAGATAACTCCAGGCATGTATGGAGACCCTCAGCAGAGCCAAGAAGCATCATTTCCAAACAAAAACAATATGACATCATCATACACTTTACTGCTTGCCAGTGACAGGCTCAGCTTTGTTTGTACAACTGCTGAGTATCACACTGTTTGCATGCACTGATAAGCCACTCCAGGACCCACAATCAGCCAATGACAACTGACAGAGTTATCTCGAAAGCATAGTTACTACTACACCATTTCAATTCATTATTTTTGAAAGATACTGTATCTTGTATTTATTTCTTAAAAATAACTGTTGTGAATTCATTTGCTGGTCTGCAGGCAATACAGGCCACTCTGCTTTTGAGAGCATTGTCCTTTGTAGGTGTTGACTGTGGGCAAGTGACCTTTTGAGGAATTAAAAGTGACCTGCTTCAATTCACAGGTCTTTTGGTCAGAGAAGCACAGTTTTGGTTATTCATTTGAGATTTTCTTCTGGTATGTTTCAACAGAGATAGCCTGTCCTAATTTTAGTCAGGGTACTAACAGAACCTTCCTCAGATCTTCATAGTAACAGCACTAACCAAGGAGCAAAGATTTCCTCTTCTTTTCCTTGAAAACCCATGAACTCACAGTTCTTACTAAAACCAAAATTAAGGAGAAACTTTCAGAGTAACACTTATTAAATCTCTCCAGCTTCTGTATGGTTCTGGAATAACCACTAATGTAGCTGCAGGCCTGTCACACAGCACAGCTCATTTAGTCCACTGCTGCCTTGTTTGCACCAAGGTTTCTAGTCAGATTTCCCCACCTGACAAAAAGCAAGTCTAAAGATTTTGAGACAAAAGCTTCCTACAACAGTAAGAGATACAAGGACATACATTTACCTGCATGCAGGGTGATATGCTTTTATCAGACTCCAGATTTTAACTGAGTGTTGTTTCTAATGGAGATAAACAAAACACAAGCATTTTGTTTAAGAGAGTTACTCTCTCAATGTTGCATGAGAACTTTGAAAGGTGCAGGCTGTTCACACCTGACCTGGCATTAACCAGCCAGTGCAAGGTCTGCTCAGTTCAGGGCCTTCAGCAAGAATGAGAGCAAGGTCAGCTACAACTCATGGGGAATTCAAAGAGCCAAGAAGGTTTCCAAAGACCACCCTTCACTACAATGCTTTAAAATCAAATAGGAATGTAACAATCACTCTGAAATAGCTGAGCAAAACAGTTTGAAAAATAAATGTTGAGGTTAATGAGCAGAGCAAATGAAATACTATCTGTTTAAACTGTTATTAGCCACTAACAGCACAGATAGCAAATATGAAGATGTAAAGCTCTGAAATTCTGTTTCTGGTCTTTAAAGTGTGTAGACAATATGTCACAAAGAAAAAAGCCACTCAATACACATGCATGTGTCCTGGAATTTAACCTTCAGAAAGTGAATCACCTCATGAGAACAGACAGTGGTAGAACATTCCAACCCAGTTTTAAGCCTATTCATTGCATTTATTTTTTATTTGCTTTAGGGAATTGTGTTAATCTATTAATCTGTGACAGTAAATCACTCAAATACCAAGTCATCCATTGGCTTCAACTCTGTACCTCCTGAAGATAATCTTTAATTTGCCTTCAGCCTTCCCTGTTGGGGCAGACACTCTACCTTAAATACAGGTTAATGCTGAAAAAGCACCATGTAATCAGTATCTATCATAAAGGAGTAAAGGAGATGAAATCAAAATTAACTAGATGCTCCAGAAGAACAATCATCACTATCCAAGGAAACCTGAGACATTGTGAAAGGCAGTTTTAAAAAGAAAAAGCAGTTTTTACAGATCAAGCAAATTAATAGAAAAGAAGTTAATACAATTCTTTAAAAAGTCTACCCCTGTTTACTCATATCCATCAAGTCCATTGAAAATAATTATGATAAATAGTTCAGCATGCTCCATTCCATTTCTTTCTTCTCTATGCTTGCTAATTCCATACTAATTCTTTCTATTCCATTTTGTCTCAAAACTAATAAAATCACAAGTTTCCTTGGAGGGGGAGAGAGGGGAAGTAAGACAGGGCTGTTGAAGAATTGTAAGCAAGTATGCCAGGAAGCAAAAAGCAAATGCTGCAGATACACAAGAGATATCCAATAAAAGAGCAACTGTGGGACTATTGTGGTGGAGAAAAGAGAGTTAATGTGGCACTCCAAAGCACACTTCACAGCCTGAGTGTGTGGCTTACAAGATCACATCATTCCAAACTGCTACACAAATTCAATTTCATCTTCTTATGCACAAACCAAAGCGTGTAGCACTTAATTTTAGCAGTAAATATGCATTTTTGCCTATTTTTGATATTAAAAAAAAAATCTAGATTTTCTCTCCTTGGGTACTATGTGGGATGAGATTTGAGCCAGCAGGTTGGTATAATCTGGGCAACTATAACATATGCTCAATGAGACCTTCAAAACTCCTGAAAATTTTATTTTAACACTGGAAGCCTGATTTTAAGGACTAAAAGTATTGCTTTCTGTAATTTAATTCAAGAGAAAATATGGCAGGGGTCACCTTTTAGGAGGGTGTTCCATTTCAAGGCAGAAAATAAGGCACAGAAAAGCTGTTCTGTACCTTAATTGCTAAGAACCAAAAGCAATTGGCAGCTGGATCAGAAGTGCTGACCAACTATTCTCATTTGTACTTTCCTGTTGCCTCCAGTTTCTGACAATCTGTAGAGAACTGCAGGCATTCAGAGTTCAGAATACACATTTTTGAAGTATTACAGAGACAAGTTTAAGAGCAAGAAAAGTACAATTTCATTTTCTGAGGTGGTAAATGATTGGAACAAGGACAACAGATGGCAAAATCACCAAATTATGGGTGCCTTTTAAAACCTGTTGTTTATGGCTCACAGTCCTCAGGCTTTATGGTTATACTCTTCTACAGGACATTGATGTGCAAATAAAGATCAAGAGATCCCTCACATTTTTTAAATTAAATTTGATTAATTTTTAAAATTAGCTTTGATTCAAAACCTACCCAACACGTTTTTTTTTTACATGCTGCAGTCATCACCTGTCCTGCTTTCAGGGGCTGCTCCAGACAAGAGCAAGCACTAGAAGACCTGGTTTGTTACAAAGCAGATGTAGCAGTAATTTCAACCCTGTGTCCACATCTAGAGCTTAGAAAACTCTGCTTTCCTCTGGCCTGCCTCCTCTTTTGACTGACACTACAGTAATTGGTTACAAAAAGAGGAAGAAGATATCAAAAAGTCTTATTGAGCATAATACCATGGAGCTGGCTGAGTGTGACTTTTCTGTGATGAATTGTCACACTTGCCCCAAGAGGTGGCAAGTTCACTGTACTTGAATTGCTGTCACTGCAACAGCAGGGTTAATAACTGGCATGACAGCTGATCTGTCTTTGAAAATCCGTGATTATTCTCTCAGAACCAACCAAGAAAAGTGTTTTTGTTAGAATTACAGAGTTTTAGCATGTCCTTCTATTTGTCAGTTATCTTTGCAAACACAGGTGTACCAAATTGCACCACTTATGGTTTGATTTGTTTCTTTTCTATATACCCTCTTTGCACTGTGTTAATGCAGAGTTATAACTCAGGCATTTTGGTCATGAAGCTCAGCTCTGTAAAAAAAAAAGAATCAACATTCAGTAAGGAAGATTTCTCAGGCCCCAGTATGTAACAATTGCAAACCTTTGAGTCAGTTTCCAACGAGGCACCTTCAATGAAGCTCCTCCAACCCCCCACAAGAGCAATGTTGCCACAGCTCTCATTAGAACTGTATTCTCAGCGTCGGCCTGTTCAACCACAGACTTGTCTTACACCTGTGTGAATGCAGAAACCTTTCCTCACCTTTAACGTGGCAGCCAAGCTGGCCATGTGTTCATTGAGAGTGCTCTCCGACTCCTTGTAAGTCAAGCAGGTGAACTGATATTCCTCAGGATCAAAGGCATCTGCTCCCTGCTGCTCCACGTCGTTAGCTACCCCATCATAATAATCCTCAATATCCCCAGGATCCTCATCCTCTTCCTCTTCCTCGCAATTAGGGTCATAATCCTCTTCATTGCTGTCAGAGCCCTGGCTGTTCATGTCCACGGACATCTTAATGCCCTGCCAAACTGCAGACCAGGAAAGCAAGTGCAGCTTCTTTTTTTTTCCTCCAAACTTTATCGTTCTTTTGATTTCATCTGAGCTCTGTCTCCTAAGGGAGGAAAAACAGTTTTTTCTGTGCCTAAGAAATTGTAAGAGGTGCCACGTCAACAACAAAAAGGTGATCAAGCAGCCAGGAACAGACCAACCCAACGGCCCAGTAAAGAGGATTCTGCTGTGCATGTCCCTGGTTTGGATCCACTGTGACTCTTGCACCTCCAAAGCCAAGGCTGCTCCTACAGGACAGGTCCAGATCCTTGGAGATTGGGTCATTACTGCATCCTAGTCCCCAGTGCAGGCCCCCTGACTTCTGACATTTGAAACTGGCTGCATAACCTTCACTACAGATCTTCTCAGAGAAAAAAATGAATTTATGACCAAGTTCTTTAGCAACAGCCTGAAATGCTGTAGCATCCTAACTATTTAATTAACAGGAAAAACACAAACCTCTTACCTATGGCCATAGGAGCTAGGAAGTCAGCCTGTACAACCTGTGATATTCTGTACAAATCCATATTGCTTCAAAACCACAGACATAAAGTGACACTTAGGCAAATAAGAGCAGTAAACAGATCTCTCACATGCACACAATTTAACAGTCTCCAATATCATCTCAAAAGAAATTGTGAAGCTAGCTCATCCCTTTAAATTGGTTCTGGTGGATGTGATGTGGCTTGGACCTTATATCTGAAGGGGGAAATAAAATTATTTATACTTCTTACCTTTTGAATGTACAAATTTATGCTCAGGTGTTGATAGCTGCTATTGAAGAGGAATCAGAACAGCTAACTTATTTTTTTTTAAGCTTCTCACTTGTTTTGGAAAATTCACACATCTGATACTTATCTGAACTACAAATCTTCTGCTTGTGTAACTGAACCATAGGAATTTGAGCTCTAAAAGATTCAGCAGTAAAGCATGAATCAACCTTAAATTATGGTCATCTCAAATTTAGTCGTAAATTTCCATTTAACCAAATTATGTAGTTTAGAGAGAATATATTAAATACAGAAGAATTAAAACAATGCTGTAACCATATTTTACATATAAAAACATATATTAAAATCAAAGCTCTATTTTCCATAAGCAGCATGTATTTGGTTCCTTAAATACATTCCCATTCTGTATTACTAGAATTATTACTATGTTGTCAGCTCTGCCACTCAAATATATTCCCTCACTATTGCAATTTCTAGCTGCTGGGGAAACCATAATCAAGCTTTGATAATCCTGACTTTAGAGTGCAGGAAATCTCAACCACAAATTTTCATTATTTTTCCTCAACTCTTTTTTTTTTTTTTCTGTTTCCAGTCACTTGACCAGGCAGCAGAGAATAAGCAGGAAGAGATGTGATGTACAATTAATTTGAGGGGCTTCAGTGATTTCAGGAGATACAAACCTCCAGAGAGGCTGAAGACTAGTACCTAATTAAATTACCTCCTGAATTCTGGCCTTCATTCCTTTCATTTGCCTCTTGATTCCTTAGCTATCCACAGCATATGTAGCACACAAACAATTTATAGCACTGCTTTCCACAGGACTTCAGAGGAACAGACACAGTCTCTCCACACTGGAGGGAGAGAGACATGAAATCTGATTTGGCAGACACAAGGCAAACCCTCATCCCTCCCTCTACCCTGCTTAGAGTCTGGGCTTAGTCTGCATTGACACTGAGCTCTTGCATAAAAGAAGTAATGGATCTTTACCTGCTAAAACTTCTGTTAAAAGAATTACTTATTTGAGCCTCTAACACCAGTGTGAACCATCAACAGCCCAGATGCAACAACTCTGTTCAGCCACCACAAAGCCTGAGCAAGTTTCACAGGCCAGGGAACTTCTCAGATTCACTCAGATCATTCCACACTCTAGAGAGAGAAAAAAAGCCATGAAAACACTGGGTCCTCTGCTATTCCAACACATGGCAAGCCACATCCAAGCTATGAGATGTTTGCAGATATCCAGGTAGGACAGGGGGCCTGCCCAGTGCCTCCCAGTTACACACCAGTCCCCGGGGAGGGGCTCAGAGGAGAGCAGAGATGTCTCTCAGTGCCACTAGCACAGTTCTGTGAGCCAACAGAGCAACTGTTTGCACAGGAAATGGGCACACGGATTTAACAAGCAGAAAGCAGTCTGCAGGACTGGCTGACTTCTGTGTCCCAACATTGTAGGAAAGAGCTCACTTCCAGCACAACTGGTCACCACAGTGACACAAGTGAAGGGAAAGGAAGGATAAGGCACACGCTCTGTGGACAAAGCAAAGGAGGGTACTCAAAACCAGGAACAAAACTCACCTCACCTATGCTCAGCCCAATGCCCAAATCAAACTCTCTGAATACAAAGACAAGACAGAGCTACTACTTGATAGCTCTAATTTTTAAGACAATAAAGATGTTAAGCTCAAAAGATAGGGTCAAAAAAGCCAGGTTTATTTAGATTAAGTAATGACCGTAACTCCCAAGACCAAATTATAAATTTTTAAACCACACTTAGATCACTTTCCAATCCAAGGGAGGATGATCTCCTCCTTCACCACCTTAATCCAGGATACTCCTGTATCTTCACTAACACTGATACAATTTAATCACCTCTCTCACAGGAACTCCTAACACACCCACCCCTACCCTCTGCTGCCCATCACCTCCAGCAGTGCCCTTTCCCTGACTCCTGCTTTGCAACACAATTCTTAACAAGGTCTTTTGAAACAAAATGCCTCCCACTGTGCTACCACATTATGTGATTCCACCTCATTCCTTGTCCAACTACATTACTCTTTTCTTATTCCTACCCTTGTGGGATTCCTCTAATAACTCTTTTGGTGGAGATTCCTCCAATTGGAGAACGCTCCTCCTCTTTTTCTGTTGATATTTCACAACCATTTCATATGGATTTTTCTTCTCTCACCTCTTTATTTATCTGAAACAGAGAAAGTGCAACTTCAGTCTGCCTCCTGGACTCCTTATCCATGTAACCTTTAGACAGGCTAGCACTCTCCCTTTTCCCTGAAACCATCCACAGCCTCAGCTCCATGCTGGCTATCAGTGCTGACTGCATCTTCATCTGTGTCACCCAAACCCATAACTCGTGGATCATCCCCAACTGCCTCTTCACGTATGCAGAGCACACCTCGCTGTTCCTTCTCCACTGTTTTTTAGGCAGGATTTTTTTCATCCAAGCCCGAGAAACCAGAAGATACCCGATCTTTCTCAGCACAGATGACTCCGCAGGGACCTCCTTGAGCCGTACCTCACTTCCCCGGGAACACAGCCGCTTTCCTTCCTCTTCCCACTCCTGCTTCACGCTATCACGGCTGCCTTCTCTTTGCCAGCTTATCCATTCCACTCCTGCCCTTTCTAACCCATCGCCACTTTTAACAAGTTGTTTTACGGATACCTACGTATTCCACGGCACCTCCGGGCTCGGCAGCGCGGCGCCCAGCGCGTTTAAATTACCTGGGCTCCATTCTCTGGGAATGCGAGCGAGACCGGCCCCCGCGCTTGTCCCGCACAGCCGGAGCGCCGCAAACCCGAGCGAGGGCAGCGCAGGAGCCCGGCGGGAGAGAAACCGTGCGGGGAAAGCCCGGGCGGCGGCGGGGCGAGGAGGGGCCCCCGCACGGCCGCCCGGAGCCCGAGAGCTTCGGGCTGCGCCTTCTGCCGGGGCGGAGCGCCGAGCTCAGCACCGGGCACGGATAAGCGGCCCCGCATCCCTCCCGCCGGGCCCGCCCCAGCCCCGGCACGGCCGGGCCCCGCACTTACCGGGCGGGCGGCGAGAGCGGCGCCCCGGGCTCCTTCTGCGCGCCGGAACCGCCGGGCCCGGTGCCGGCCCCGGGGCGGGGGAGAGCGGCTGAACCACTGCGGATGTGCGGGGGGAAGCGGCCCCGCGCCCTCAGGAGCGGCCCCCGGGCCGGGCTCGGCCGGTGACAGCGCCCAGTGGCCGCGCCGGGAGCGGCCCCTCGCACCGCCGCGGTCCCGGCCCGCCCCGCGCCCGCTTCCCGGCGTGCCCCGCACTGGGCTAAAGGTCGCGGCGCGGAGGGGGCGGCATTGGCTCGGCAGGGACGCAGCTCCCCGGTCCCGCTCCCGGTCCCGCTCCCGCTTCTCACCCTCCGCCGCCGCCATGGCGAAGCAGCCGCAGCCCATCAGCCCCTTGAAGAACTTCTTCGCTGGCGGTTTCGGTGGCGTCTGCCTGGTGTTCGTGGGGCACCCGCTGGACACCATCAAGGTAAGGTGGTGCGGGGCGCCCGGGAACCAGGGGGGGCGGCCGGTGCTCGGTGCGGTCGGGGCACCGGAGGGTGGACTACAGCTCCCGGCAGAAACTGCGCGGGAGCGGCGCGGGTCCCGGTGGGCGCTGTGGCAGAACTACAGCTCCCGGCAGGCACTGCGCGGGAGGCGGGGCCTCGGGGAGGCTGCGCTGGCCTCTGTGGTGCCGTAGGGCTCCCCCTGGCGGCGCGGCGGTCTCGCAGTCCCGGTTTTAGTGAAAAACCGGGAAAAGAGCGTCGGTGCTCCCGGTGCTGGAAGGAGCTGGGAGCGCCCGCCAGCCCCGTCCCGCGGCGGGACCCCGCGCCAGGGCGAGGCCAGGAGTGACCCTGCGGGTTGCAGGGAGCTGGGGTCTTCATCTGGACATCATCCCAGAAATTAATTAGTTAAACACACTCATTATATTGAAATTCAGTCCCTTGTCTTCTGCAAAGGGCTAAATAATGTCAATGTGTCTATCATTATCTTCAGGTCCGGTCACAAAACATACTCCATAATAGCCAGAGGTTTTCTGTCAATCAAAGTTTAGATTGTAATATTTGATAAAATAATGTTTTCCTCTCCCTCTTACTAGGTCAGACTGCAAACCCAGCCTAAGCCACAGCCTGGCCAGGCCCCACTCTATTCTGGGACCTTTGACTGCTTCAGAAAGACTCTTGTTGGAGAGGTACTGTGACACCTGCCAGATATATCAGTTGTTTCTGTACGTTGTAGGAATGGAATCCTACAGAGAAACCCTACAGTTCCTGGGTTGTCAGTTAAATTTATTCTAATTCACGTTTTTAAGCAGATTACAAAATCTGGGGAGTACTTAGCATACATGTGCTCCTGGTACATGTATCTTTGTTTTGCTGAGAAATGTTTTGGGCTCAAAATAGCATGATATTAATGTCTGAACTTACACTGGAGTGAATGTTGGCAGTTGTTTTTTGGCCTTGGGATTTTGCAGGTATTTGGAGTCATCTCTGGAAATTCTAAAATAGGTAATGACTTTTGCTGATACAAGCAGTACTTTCACTTTCTCCTATAAGGTGTTATGCCACCTATGAGAAGGCAGCAGATCTTTAATTCATAGATTTCTTTTTGAGAGCAGAGTGTCAATTATAGTGTTATTCAACCTTCTCTAGAAGGTGGACAGTGTTTTTTACTCCTGAATCATCATAATCATCTTATTGAGCCAGTCTGTTTTGTTTTTGGAAAGACACACAGCTTTGATTTAAAGTCTTTAGCTGACAGAGAGCCCAATTTTCTGCTTTTTGAGTGTTCTCAGCAGCTATTTACCATTTGGAAATAATGGCTGTAAAGCCCAGCTGTTTATCTGCTTGCCTGAAGTCTCATTTCTAACTGCTGGATCTCGTGAGGTAACTCCCTGTTGAATGAAAGATCTGCCTCAAAATCTGAAATCTCCTTCCATTGTGGTATTAACAGGCTGTTATATAACCAAAGCAAATCTTGTTTCCCTGGTCTCTCCCACAAAGGAGTGAGTGCTGTGCCAGCTCTGAATCCCTGGCAGTTTTTAACACCCCTGCTGCAGCACGGACGTCAGAGCTGAGCCATAATAACAGCCTTGTGATGGGAAGTTCAAAAGCACTGCTGCTTCTCTACTCCTACTCAGTACTCATCCGTTTCTGTGAGGAAAACTGCTAAACCTCTCTGCCAAGGCCTTTGGCTTCCCACTGCCCAAGGGGAGGTTGAGCAGCAGTGGCTGATCTCTCAGCCAGGTGGAATTTTGTGGCAGAGCCAGTTGTGCCTGTAAGACTTCAGCATGTACTGGATGCACTGGTTTATTGGGACAGGGGGAAAAAAGGGGTGCAGAGACCAGCAAATATTTAATTTATGCATCTACCCTTTATCTAGGAAGATAACTCTCTTTTTTATTGGACAAAATTCAATTTAAAGGCAAGAGAAGTGAAATAAATACAGCTGCTGTGGTCTGCATTAGAACTTTTTCATATGTGTAGTCTATGAAAGGAAACATCAGGAATGTGTGGGGAAAAAGTTTGGATTTAGGGTAGGAAACAAAAAATAATTTGCTCTTGAATCTGTTCCAAAGTGAATTCATGGGGGGAGTGAAGGATTTCCAGTTGCTCTCCCTGGCTCTTCCTTTAGTTAAAGAGTGAATTTGTTTCAGCGATCTCAGGTTCAGTGTCAGGATTTTACAGTACTGCATTTGACAAGCTACCAATAAAACAAGTTACAAGTTACCAGTTTCTGTGTGCAGCTGGGAGTGTTCTCTCTTGACTTAATCTATTAAGGCTCTCATTCAGGGGGCTTTTAACCTCCTCATACTTGAGATGTACGTGCAGGTGATGAGTATTGCTCTAGAAGGGCATCAGTGCTGCCAGTGTTTCCCAGGAAGGATAGTTTCCTCTGAGCTTCAGCTAAACATGTATAACTGCAAATGAGCAATCAACCCCTGTATTCCTCTGATCAGTTAGACTGTTAGATGGATCCTATCCTGGATTGTTGCCTTTCTCTTCTCAACAAGTTGAAATGCGTGCAAAGTTTATGCCAAACCAAGTAATGCCTGTGATAATGTTCCTTGCAGGGAGTCCAAGGCTTATATAGAGGAATGGCAGCTCCTATCATCGGGGTGACACCCATGTTTGCTGTGTGCTTCTTTGGATTTGGCTTGGGAAAAAGACTCCAGCAGAGAAAACCTGACGATGTTTTGACGTGAGTTCCTGGTTAATCAGACGGTCGGGAAAGGCATCCTGAGGCTCTTGCTGCATTGTCACACGTTGAGTTGTGGTGTAAATTTGTGTCTTCTCCTAGGTGATAAATATAGTTCTGAAAAATAAACCACTCATGTTTTAATGCTTCTGGAAGCGTGGGACTGATAGCAGAGGCTAAAAACAGGCATTGTGTGGGCAGGTGGGATGCAATTCCCTTTCTACGCAGGAAGGAGCCACTGAGGAACAATTCCGGTGTAGATGAGCACAGTGAGAGTTATATAATGATTGCCTGCCAACAGTCTTGCTATTAACAGAAACTATGGGAGCAATAAATTTTCATGGTCAAGGGTGAATTGGTAGCATTCACAGCCCTGATTCTCTTTTGCCTGTTAGTTATGAGTCTTCTTGTGGCCCTTCATTAGGATATGAAAACAGACATAAAACCGTTTTATTATTGTTTCTGAAAAGAGGTGTTTATGAGCAGCCCTCCTCTCAGGCACGTCTGACCTTCAGAAACAGCAATAGGAAGCTCAGAAAATTTGGTGGGGCTTTCTACAAGCCAGCCTGTGCATGAAGAAAGCCCCCCAGCCATCAAGTACTCCTGTAGTGGGTTTGCCGAGCTGTGATTTACAGCTCCACAGGGACTGGGCTGTAGCTTAGCAACATTTTATCCCATTGTTTGTGTGCTGGGTAGGAGCTCTGTCAGAAAGCAGGAGCCCATCCTGTGGAGCCACCTGTTTTGGTTTCTGTTGGAGCCTTGTTTGCACAGGGCTGGTGTGAGCACACCTGGCCCTGCAACACGAGCTGCTGCCAACACGGCTGCCATTGCTCAGGGGGAAGCAGTGCTGAGGTGCTGGGGAACTGCTCACTCACCTCTCTTACACCATGGCACTGTCCTCATGCAGGCAAGACTGAAGGGAAAGGCCAGGGGAACAGTAGGGACTGAACAAGTGCACCATGAACTTATTCCCAGCAGCCTAATCACCTCAGTGCCTTGTGTTTCATACACCTGGTGCCAACAGGAAGTTTTAAGGAGCAAGATGGAGAAGGACAGTGTAGTTTTTTGAGTCTTTATGTAGAATTCCTCTCAAGCAGAGCAGTGGAAAAGAACAAAGAACATATGTGCTGTCACTGTGCTCAGCTGTGCTGTTCTGTGGGTGCAGACCTGACACAGTGAAGGTAGAGTGAGCTTGGGACATGAGACTCAAAAATAAAGGTCAGACTCGTGGTGCTGTGGTTATGGGTCTAGAGGCAGGTTGGATGGTTGTATTTCCCATGCTGATTTTGAAGGAAAGTTGTGGAAGGAAGAAGATGGAGAGAAACCTGAGGAGCCTATCCTGCCTTTTCTGGGGCTGAATAATCCCAAGGTGAGCTAAAAAACCTCTTAACTTAGTTTGAGTAGGAAGTGCATGTGGAGTGGCAAGGGAGGTCTGAATTGTCTGGAAGATATGATGGGAATTAGAGTAGAGAAATGTGCAAGAATTGGAATAGAATGCCATCTCTTGGGCAAGTGGAGAGAAGTGGAAGGTGTGGAATTTGATTAAATTGAGATGTTAGGTCTTACTAGGGGAGGTAGTAGGAGGCTGGTTGTAAAGATGGTTTTGTGATGGAGAAACTCAGCTTAAGGGATTTTTGTCATGGAGAGTTTGCCATGTGAAAGCAGGTGCAGAGTGTTTGGGATAGTGACAGGTTGGTAGGACAGACTCGACTTTGGCAGAGACTGAGGGAGTGAGAGGTTGTGGAGAGGAGGCTTCTGGCTGCACAGGCAGGAATATCTGTGGAATTTGAGGTCACTGAGAAGAGGATGGGGGACTGGAGGAGGAAGAAACTGAAGTGAAAGGGAGTGGAAATGAATGGGAAATGCTGTAGCAAAAAACTCAAGTAGAAGGAGTATTAGCAAATAGAATGGATATGAAGAGCTGAGTTGTGGTTGCTGTAGGAACCAGTGCTTTGAGTCCTAGAGATCTTAAATGTTTGCATTGACAAGGCACTTCTGCACTCATAAAAGCAGTGGATGCATTTCAAGTTCCACTGCCACGTTCATGTGGAACAGCATCACCTGGGGATGTAGGGGTCTTTCTGCCCTTCATTTCCTGTGTGCTGTGTTGTGTTAGGGTCTTTTCTGTTTCCTTGGGGCAGATATCCTCAGCTGTTTGCTGCTGGCATGTTGTCAGGAGTGTTCACAACAGTAATCATGGCTCCAGGAGAGAGAATCAAGTGCCTTTTACAGGTAAGGCATTGGATGGTGGTGATGGGAATTTAATTTTAGTGGTCTTGTCTTTCCATAGCAGGAATTTCTTTTAGTTAGTGCATTTACTCTGTTCTGTTTTTTGACAGGACTGAGACAACTGTCATTTAATGCAGCTGTGTCATGAAGAAGCATTAAACAAACTCACCATGACAGTATAAGTACACACAGCATTAATTGCTCTGTTCATTTTGCACAGCTCAAGCCTTATGCTGTGGGACACTATATGAGGCATCCATGGATGCCTCAGTCCACTTCAAAGTACAGGAAAGTCAATTTTTTCTGAATGAAACTTTTCCTTAAAAAGAAAAGCTGTAAACTTGCTAGATCATGAGACTCTTTCTGGTGTAAAGAAGTTGTGTTACCTTGACAGTTCCCCATGCAGAGCTAAGGAATGCATTTCCAAACAGTGTTCTGACATTTGGGTGGCTGTTAGCTCTGCACCTCCTGCGGGGGTTTTAAAGTATTGTTGGAAAATGTAAACTGAACAAATGAAATGCCATCTTTAGCACGTGTGGGAAGCTCTGCTTGTTTCAGACTGTTGAACTCTGTTAATACAGTGATGGGTGGTCACATGTCAGTTCTGACAGACAGGATATTCTCATGGGAGATTTTATACACATACAAATGGTTTGAATTTCACTATTTGAAGACTACTTTTTGTCAGTGTGGAACTGCCTAGGTGACTTGAGTATTTCAAACTTATACCGTGGAAAAATAAAGGAGAATCTGTTCTCTGCATGGAACAGTAACCACAGCCTCAGCTTCAATGTGAGATCCACTGGAGGAAGTGAGGCAGAGCTCCCTAGGCAGGAGCGTGTGCTCCTTCCTCTCTGGAAACACATGTGAGGCTTTCTAACCCTTGGCTGAATGACTCTGCATGGACCAGAAACCCTCAGTGTCAGAAACTCTCACTTTAACCCTGCAGATCCAGGCAGCTACAGGTGAAACCAAGTACAGTGGCTCCCTGGACTGTGCCAAGCAGCTGTACCGCGAGGCTGGGATCCGCGGCGTGTACAAGGGAACCGTGCTGACCCTCATGAGAGGTGAGGGACAGGGCTGTCCCACTCCCTGCTGGGGGGACTGCAGCATGACAAGCCTGACACAGTATGGGAGATCTCACTGTCCCTTTAGGCAATTGGAGGGGCTGTGTCACCCATTTTCTTTTTTTTTCTTTTTTTTTTTTTTTTTCCAGTCTGCAGAGCTACTCCAGTGCCTCAAAGGGCCTGAGAAATAAACATGAGATTCTCAGTGGGTGAGGAAGAGATTAGATGACAAGGATCAGAGGGATATAGGAAGTAATTAAGATCTGAGAAGCCAAGAGGAATGAGAGACTTCAGGAGAGGAGCAGAGAGAACAAAGAGAAGAGAAAAATACAGAAGTGGGCTTTTTTAAAAAATTATTTCCTTCTTTTTTTCTTTTATTTCTCCTTGAGAGAAGGATTGTGCCTGTCTGTGACTTGCTGTATAATACTGACTACTTTAAAATCTCTGGTGGCAGCAGTTATGCTTTCTACCCTTTTGAGTCTGGGTTATTTTGAACTAGGATGTCATGACCCCTCTCTCAAATACAACAACAACTAAGTAATTGTGCCAGACCCAGAATCCTTTACGTATTTTAGTAATTCCCCTTTGAAAAACTGAAATTTCTGTATTTTGTTACTTCAGTTTAGGAATTGGTTCTATCCTCTGCTTCTCACACAAGTGTAGCAGCCTGCAGTGTAACTCTGGCAGTGTCCCTAGGTAGGGGCTGGTTCTCCAGTTTAGGTATGGGATAAGAATAGGCTGTGGGAGTAGCTTAAAAAAAAACCAAAACAAGACCCATCAACTGCAGAAAATAAGCCCCAGATAGAATCATTAGAACTAACAGTGTGCAAAATTCATTAAGTTCCTGTGCTGCTGTGATGTGCTGTGCAGAAATGTGGACAGTTTAGAGCTGTCTCATCATTAGTGTAATGTAACCAGTTACAGTCTGGTTTGAAAGGCTGCTGACAGAAAAGTTATTTTCCAGTTCTTGCCGTTAGCACCTGCTCTCCATGGGAAAGTTCAGACTCCTCTGTCCAAGGCAGCAGAAGGTTTTTATTTTGTTTGTAGAAGAGGTTCAGAACAGGAATCTGTATGTACTTAGTGGTGTTGCTGGGCTGGCATGGGGCTGGTGTGCCTCTGGGCTCCCTTTGGTTTCCCACTCCTCACAGCCTTTGTTGTTTACCCACCAGACGTCCCGGCCAGCGGAATGTACTTCATGACGTACGAGTGGCTGAAGAACATTCTGACCCCTGAGGGAAAGAGGTCAGTGAAATCTCACAGTCACCACTCTCTGAGCTTCCCAGACACTGCTGATTAATCTCCCCAGCTACGAAGAGATTTACAGCAGTATCATCAAAACAAATTTTAAAAAGAGAAAAATGGTTGCTCATCTAGTGAGTTGAGCTGTTTTGGTCTGGGGTTAGCTGACAATTAAAATAATATTCTGAGTTTCTCTCAGATTCCAGTTTGGATCTTATTAGCCAAGTAAGGAATACTTAAAGTAGTTTCAACCCTCTATGGACACTAAATGCTGGGGGACTTTGTTGGATTTTTTGTGGGGGTTTGGTTGGTTGATTTGGTTTTTGGTTTTTTTTTTGTTTTTTTTTTTTCCCAGAGCATGTCTCTGTGTGCTGCTGAATAAAAAGATTTGAATCTTTAGGGTGGAGTTGGTCCATCTTGGAAAGGTTGCTCAGATACTGCACTCTGTCTCTGTCTGCAGCATTGTGCTGCCTTCTGGCTGCCAGCCAGGCTGTCTTCTTGATTGTCATCTTAGTCAAACAACGAGTTAAACATTTTTCTCCTTTTTAAATCTTTTTTTTCACTTCTTCCTCCCACCCCACTCTGATCCTGCTACAGTGTGAGTGACCTCAGTGTGCCTAGGATCCTCTTTGCTGGGGGCCTGGCTGGGATCTTCAACTGGGCAGTTGCCATTCCACCAGACGTGCTGAAATCACGTTTCCAGACTGGTGAGTTGCGTTCCAGTGTCACGGCCACACTCGCTGTGGTGCTCCTGGGAATGGGCTGGGCAGGGATGGAAGATGCCTTCTGGGAGGCAGCAGGTCTTGAGTGCTGCTTGAAACAAGTGTATGAAAAACCCAAGGGTGTTCTTAGCATTCTAGCTGGTTTTCTCACAAATTTTTGGTTGCACTGCTCTGTTTCTGAATCCTTGATGATATAATGATCTTGATTTGAGGTACCTGATTTGAAACCTAAGCATAGAATAGCAATTCATAATAGAATTGTCATAGCTGTTTTATAACAAATGTAATTTTTTGAGAGTTTTTATTATTTCACTTCAGACATAATTGTATAAATTGTAGCCTGTGCTATCTGCAGTTTATAGTAACAGGGTGTGACATGCTGAGAGCATTGCTTTTGGACTGGCAACTCTGCTCTTTAATGTCTGTGGCTTAATTACAATTAGTATAACCCCAGACCTTGTGCTTCAGCAGAGTTTGACAGGTTTTTTGTTGGTTTCTCTGCTAATCCTGTCAATGAATATTTTTGTTAAGGCTCCCTATGGTCTCTGTGGACTCTGCTCTCCACTGGACAGTGACCATTTTTCTTGAGTCACAAATCATGATGGTCAGTGCAGGAAACCTCATTTCTTTTTCTCTGAGCAATGGCTGCTGTGGCTGTTTGTGCCATACCAAGGGCTGAGAGGGAAACCCATTACAGCTTTGATCCTGTTCCACTGAGCCAGTCCCCAGTGCTGCTGTGTGGATGACATGGGTTCATGGTGGTTCAGTTTAACTGGGCTAATCTGTGGATTATCTCTTCAGAGGGCTGGCAGAAGCAGTATTTCCCAGGGCAGTGTCGGGAGAAGGAAGAAATTGTGTTTTGAGTAGAGTAGCTTTTGAAAAACACCTCAGCATATCCATGTAACATCAGCATTAGAACATCCTGTGCTTTTCATTTGAAGTCTGTTGGTGTTCTTGGCTGGGACATGTGATAGGATCATTTTCTTATTAACCAGCTTCATCAGTTTTTCTATCTGACATTCCTATCACCTAAGTGCAGCTCTTGGGAGAGCTGTGATCAGCAGTGCAAGTAACAGCTCAGACATTCAACCCTGACAAAAGTAATTCTCCTTTCTTCCATACCTGCAATGACTTGATGGTGTAAACTCTTTGGTCATGGTGAGCCCCTAACTTGTGTTCACTGAGCCTTTACTGAGCTCTCTTGTGTGTTTGCAATAGCAGTGTGAACCTGTTGAAAATCCTGGGCTGTTACCTATGGCACATCCTTCAGCCTTCGTCACCGCCACACGTCTGGGCTAACGTGTTGTGCATCCCTTTCAGCTCCTGCAGGAAAATACCCAAATGGCTTTAGAGATGTGCTGAGGGAGCTCATCAGAGAGGAAGGAGTTGCATCTCTGTACAAGGGGTTCACAGCTGTGATGATCAGGGCCTTTCCTGCCAACGCGGTGAGTACGCCGTGGTTCCGGCTGGGTTTGGGGACGTGGTGCTCACACTGAGTGTTGGCAGTCTGGAGAGGACACGCTGCCTGTTTATTCCTGTGCCATTCCAGACAGGTTCTTGTCACCGCAGGTACTTTTGACTGTTGGTGTCCAGATACTAAAACTGTGCTTTAATCTAGGAGCAACAAGTAAATCTTTCTTCAGAGCTTTGCATGAAAGCTCTTTGTTGAATTTCTCTGATAGTTTTTAGCTACTGGTTGTACATCCAACTGTAGAAGATGGAATCAATTTCGACTCACTTCCCCTTCAATAATGAGCCTAACAGAGCCAAAGCTCAGCCTTTGTATGGAGGGATACAATAGAATTCTTGCTTCTGGGTCAAGACTTTTTTTGTCCTCTTCCTCCTTCCGTATAAACCACATTAGGTGTTCATAGTGCAGCAGTTCAAAAGCCTTGTTTGAAAGAGATTTTTAGAATCCTTATTTGTTCTGTATTCTCTTTTCCAGGCATGTTTTCTTGGTTTTGAAGTCGCCATGAAGTTTCTTAACTGGATTGCCCCTGGCCTATGAAGACTAGGAAGTCTGGAGAAGAGAGAGAAGGAAGAGAGTGCAAATCTGCCTCAGAGGAATAAATTAATGATCACTTAATATTTCAGGAATAATTGTTTGCCTAATACCTTTTTGCCTTTCTCACAATCTTTAGGTGGTGCTATGTGCCATTCAGAAATGCAAGCTGTGACTCTGACAGAGTTGGTGAGGAGCTAGGGGTGACAAATCTTCTGAGCCAGCCACAGCAGTGACACTGCTAACACACAGCTGTCACTGTCACATGTGCTACTTTAAGTACTTCCTCATGGAAGAAGGGGACACATCTTAAAATGTAATTCTTTATTTACTGAAGAAACATGTAGCTATTAATGCTGAAAAACCTCCTTAAAATAATTTTTTGGCAGCATGTACTTAACTCTCAGGGCATAAGTTAGCAGCTGCACATGGTCGTGTCTGCAGGCAATGTCAGACAATGTTCTCATCTCCTGTACTTTTTCAGTTGTGGCTGTTTCTGTGTTAACACTGGCTTTAATCTCCTGTGCATGTACAGCAGCAAACACAACTCAGCAGGGGAGGCCAGAGCTATGTCCCAGTGGGTTGAGGGGTGTTGCAGGTACCATATCAGGTCTTGCACGCTGATCTTTTCTGTGGAACTAGGACACAAAATGCATTATGTTTAACATTTGTACTAAGCTTTACTGAGGGAGCCAGTGGGGAAATGTGTTTGATTAACCTGAACTTTTCTATCAAATCCTTTCTGTCCCATTGAAGAGAGCCCAAATGTGATTTCAAAAGTACAGCACAGCTCATAGCAATCTGTGATATATTTGATTCATCAAATACTGTGTCCTGGGATTCGATCCCTGACATTGATGTGAGAAAATTTAACAGCACTTCCAAGAACTGAATTTCTCTGACACGAGGGGGACAACTGGCTCTGCATTTTTGTCTAACTTTATTCTTTCTCCTGTTCCTTGGTTTTCTCTTACTCTTATTATTTTTAACATGATCACATTTTCATTTGAGAAGTGACTAATACTGAGAAGCAAAAAGCAAATCTTAATTTATTTTGGTTGTGATGCAGTGTTATGGAACTCAATAAAACTAGGTGCTGCTTGGCTAGAATGTGTGCTTTGGTTCATTTACTTTTTGCATGGTCATGCATGCTAAGTTTTGCAAAAATTTTCCAATTCTTAATTCTCAGATTGATTGGTAAATAAGCTGTGCTGTGCTGTCTTTGATTTCTAACCCCTTGCCTTTTAGCTTTTCAATTTCTGACATGAATGATGGAAAGGAATATTCTGCACTTGGCATGTTTGTCATACAAGTCCTTTTAGGTGCTGCATTATGGATGCAAATTTTTAACTATAAAGCAACACACTAAATAGCACATCTTGGAACAAATAACACATACTTTGTGGAAAGTACCTGGTGTGGTCTGTTGACCAGTACCATGAGGACACAGCCTTCATCTTGGCTTTCCAGAGGCAGGGGCAGCCCTAAGGACTTCATACTCCGTACTGTGGAGAAGCCTTGAATTCTACTTTCCTTCCCAGTTACTTCTGGGAAGACCAGAAGGGAACCTGCCTTCCTCAGAGTCCACCTCTTGTGTTTTACAGGACAGGAGGGATAGGCCCTGGTGTGGGAAAATCTCAGTCACCTGGAGCTGCTTCTGCATTTTGCTGCCACTGTACCACCCAGGGCCTTCCCCGCTCCTCAGTGCTCAGGAGTGGCTGCTATTCCTCCTCTGATGAATGCAATACTTAGTGTGAACACTGAGTTTGTACTGGTTTGGGGAAGTGATTACAGAATATAAACCTCTCAAATGGTTTTAAACACAGTTCTGGGTTTACTGAGGCCAAATCCCAGCTAGTTTCAAGCTGACCAGCTCTGCTCTGGTGGCTCTGTGCTGCCTCACCACAAAATGCTGCCCTGTGCTGCTTTGGTGGCTGCTCTGGCTTCTTTCTGATTTCCAGGCTGAAGCTGTTGTACCTAGGAGCAACTTCCAGCTTTAAGAAGTGGTATAAAGCTGAATTTGTTTTCAATTCTATTCATGTGCTCAGAAATACTGACACTGGGGAGGGACAGAAGTGCATATTCTTTCATAAAATTTCAGACAGTGATGCTTAAAGCTGCCCATTCCAGCTGCCCTGTCAACTGCATCCTGTTGACCTCCTAAGCTCCCAGAAAACTGGGAAGAGCTGAAGCAGAGGAAGGCTGAGATTCCCAAAGCTTGGTCATGAGCTGTGCACACTTGGTTAGTGCTCTCTCCCACCCCAGTCCTATCAATCCCAAGTGCTGCAGACTGTGAAAAACATAAAATTATTGGAGCCCAAATCAGGGACAAGTAAGCTGCTGCGTTTGAGGGTGCAGCTCCTGCATTTGAGCAGCAAGGAGCCCACTCTCAGTCTGTGTCCTGGCCTCTGGCTTGGTGCTCAACAAACTTTACCTTGGCTGTGCTCTCACCAGCTGAGCCTCTTCAGTCTGTGGCCTTTAGCAGTACTGGCCCTGGAAGACTGAAATATTCCCTTCACTCTCTACTACTTCAGTTGTTACCAGTAACTGTAGACTCTTTTCCTTCTGCCAAACTATCCCTTTTGACACTTTTTTCTTGAACATTTCAGATCCTGACTTATCCTAATTATATTCTATATTCTTCCCACTCTAAGGTTTTTGCAGAGCTTTGTATTTTACGTGATAACATTCTGTTGTTTACCATGGTTGATTTCATTTGGTGCTTTTAGCTAAGTAAAATATGGCAGAAGACAATCAGGCATGAGGGGCTGCTTTCCAACAGCAATGGCAGAAGAAGAGCTTTGCAAAGGCTCATCAGACACATCTGCTTGCTTATTCAAAAACTGAAACCCAGGCACCCTGGAAATATTTAAAAAGCTGCTCATATCTCTAAAGACTCTGCCATACAAAATTTGCCAATTCCTTGCCTCTAATGTGTGCAGCCTCAGAAAGAGAGAAGGATTTTAACACAAGCCTGATTTTCTATACCCTGAGGACTCTTTTGCTTTCAGAGGCCTAGATTTGCATTCAAATGTTATTTTCTAATTGCCCAGGTTCTTGTGGGAATTCAGGCAGTGTATCTGCAGTTTAAGGGCACACAGCAGCAGCTGGTACACTGGTGCCAGCCAGTGATACCAGTGATAATTTTCTTTATACTCCTTGTGCTGACAACATCTGGCTTTGCTATATCAAAATCAGTGCCCCGAGGCTCTTGTGCTGTACTTCCTCCTGGCCCCTTCTGCTTTGATGGAAGTGTTTTTTCCAGTGGTGATTCAAGGTGTCTGGGAGTATTCCAGAAGTAACCCAGGATAGATAAATCTCCTGTGCTTGCATTTCTCTGCCCATTGTGGGCAAGTGCCTTTTGTGCACACTCAGCATTGCTATAGTGACAGAAAGGTCCTTGGAACACCCCTGACAAGTCAGTCTTGATCAAATTTGTCTAATTAAAGGAAGCTACCTGTGGGAGGCACATTCAGTACAGACTCTCCAGTTTGGAAAAGAACATTGCAAGGTAGATCTTACGAATGGTGTGCAATGTCAAGAGGGTGCATTTACTCATATTTCTCACAGGACAAGATATACAATAAGGAGATCAAGCAATATTTAAACAGAATGCAAAAAAAAAAAAAAACAAATCACAGAAGAACCATTCATCAGGATCTACTGAAAACTGATAGGGCTGCAAAGCCTTGGCACAGGGTGTTCCTGAATTGCTGGTTGATGGGATTTGGAGGGTGTGCTAGGGAAGGCACAGCTAGTGTTTTATTTATTGTGTTATTTCTGCAAGCATCTGCTGCTGGGCACTGCTGGGCAGAGGAAGAGACAGGCTTCAAATCTTCATCAGTTTGACTGGTGTTTTTACAAAATTATGGGCAAACAATGACTAGTTCTGTGGGGTCTGCACAGAGGAGGATGGGCTGGCTATGTACCTTCAAATAACAACATACACTAGGACCACCTACAGCTTTGCATGTGCCCAATTGGCTCTAATGGTTCAGTTTTCCATTTCTACATTGTTCTTTTTATCTGCTGCCTCTTGGATAAGAGGACTGCTGTGTCAATGTCCTGTTTGTGCCACTGAGAGACCAGCCTTGTGCACAGCCTGAACAAAGTGGTTTTCACCACTACACAGTTCACAGGATGACAGAGCAGTTGAGGCTGGAAGGCATCTCTGGACACAGTCCAGTCCAGCCCTCCTGCTCAGAGCAGGGCCCACTCGTGCAGGTTGCCCAGGTTCAGTTGGTTCTTAATATCTCCAGGGATAGAAACTCACAGCTTCTTGGGGCAGCTTCACAAAAATACAAGTTCTCTTATGTCTAAGAGGAACTTGATGTATTTCAATGTCACTAGATATCACTGAGGAGAGCCTGGCTCCACCTTCTAAACCTTCTCTGATCAGGGATCCATACACATCAGTAAGATCCTCACGAAGCCTCCTCCATGCTGAGCAATTCCATTTCTCCTGGTCTCCTCATATTGCAAATGCTCCCGTTCCTTCACCTTCTCTGCAGTGCTCACTGGACTGTCAGTGTATCAATGCCTCTCCTGTGCTGGGGAGCCCAGAACTGGACTGCAGCTGTGGCCTCACCAGTGCTGAGAACAGGGAAAGTTCATCTCCCCAGGCCTGGTGGCAATGCTTTTCCTCTTTTCCTACAGCAGCCCAGCATGTTGCTGGCCTTCTTTGCCACAAGGGCATACTGGTGGCCTGTGTTCTTCTCCTCATGACATCCTGCTTCCAGCTGTAACGTGTGACTGCACTGCTGGTCCAGGCTTGTCCAGCCACAGGCTAAAATGCCTGCTGAGTCAGTGGCACGAAGCCATGCATGCTGTGGCACTGTGACAGTGGCACTCAGTGTGCTCTGCACCGAAGGCTTTCGGTGGTGCTGGCTGAAAATAGACTCGGCTGCCCTGGCAGCTGCATCCTGGGGATTTTTGCTCCTGACTCAGATGATGGCAGGGAGATGCCTGCCTTGGAGCTGGGGGTTTCCCAGGAGGGTGGGTGTAGGGATTGCTGGGATTTCTGCCTCTTCTTTGCTCTCCAGGATGCCTTCTGGGTGATGGGATCATGGGCTGCTGTGCTCATTCGACGTGTTGG